CCAGACAGGTAAGGGGCTGAAAATTTGTGGGGATGTGCCCTGTGCATGTGTTAGTAGCCAAAGATTTCAAATTCAGTCCCGAGGTATACGTGGTACTCATGTAAGGGCGTATGAGGCGTATGAAAGTTTTGATGGGAAAATTGCTAACTCGGGAACCAGGAAAGTTGGAAGGCTGAAATTTTAGGGGAATGTTCCCTGTCCAAATACAACTTCAGTATTTCAAATTCAGCCTTGAGGACGCGTGGTTCTCGCACGAGCACTTAAAGTTTTGGCGGAAAAATTCCTCATTGAACAGCTAGGTTACTTTTAACCCAGGCTGGAACGCACCAGGCTTTTCGGTGCAATCGTGCGTTTTTGCACTAATCTCGAAGACCGCTATTAGCAGGAATGATCCCTATGCTGTAGCTTAACACTTAAGCTCACATTGGTCGTGTTTTGGCTCTTTCCGGCATGAAGGAGGAAGAGCGTCAGTTGAAATGAAAGTGGTGCATTATATAGCCGCGCGGACCTCCAGATACATGACTACCAGTTTTTTGCATAAAGCGCGGTCGTTTTTTCGGTAAATGCTCACCTTGTGAAAAAATGACAAATGCAGATTTTTTGGAAAAATGCAAATTTTCAGTTCACAAGAAAGTGGAAGCATTGCTCGAGCGGTCGTTTGTCAAGAAATCCATATGTATGCAAATTAACTAATGTTCATTTACATATTTGGATGAGGGCGGTCATCCGCTGCAAAACGCACTCATTTCTGATTTTTCGGTAAAGTTAAGTATTTCTTAGGCGTACCTGCAGAGAATTCTAACTCTAAACAGAATTAAGACCGCACTTGAGAGTAGAATATCCAAGCTAATTTTCAGTCTCGCAGCTTATCCGACAAGCGAAATATACGCTTCGCTACAAATATTTTTGAAGTGCCCTAAGTCGTCGCGCAAGTGCAAGTCGGTTCTCATTTTAGGCACATCGTTTTCTATGTGAGCGAAAAACATAGTGACAAAATTTCAGTCACTGTTTTCCGGCAAGTTTTCGAGTTAGCACAGTACTAAAGTTGCATTTTTGACATGAACGTGCGCGCTTCACAAGCGTGCTCGACAGCTGATTTTAAAATCTTTAGCTTGAACGTGCATAGAGAATATCCCTGCAAAGTTTCAGCTTTCTACCTTAC